AAAAACCTCCTTAATATATCAGGATAAAAATCAGACCAATTAGTGGAAAAGAATAATATAATAGGAAGAAGTACACATGATAAGGCATTTGGGATGACAAGCAGAAATGAGAAGGCCTGAGCCCAAGTAAACACCATATGGAGTTGGCATCTGCGTGAGACCCCTGTACATTCATGGCTGCCTTTTCATTTCTCTTGCATTCCCTCAGTGTCCCACAGAAAGGGATTTTGGTGTGTGCTCTGTCCTCCATTGTCAAACGATAGAGCAGTGTCTCAGTATCTGGAGAAGCAGACACTGAGAAGGTCTGGCCAGCTACAAAAACCTAGCCACAATAACTTTACAGAATGACGGAGGAGGAAAGTGAGGGAGTAATCAGGCAACGCAGAAGAAGTTGAGAAGCCACAAGCAACACAGGGTCTCTGAACAACGGATGCTGAGGACTAGCGGGTCTGAGATGGGACTCCCTCCTGCCCCTGAGAGGCTGAGAAACCCTTCCTATTTTCCAAATACTCTAACTACTATACCATAAGCTGAATAGTAGAAATGCCATTTTGAGAATATTTACTTACCTGTCCTAAAAATCTAAAACTAACATTTTAGGTTTTAAAAAAGGTAATTTCAGGTCACATTTAAAATTTAGAAGTTACAATAAAAGAATTTTCAGCATGCAGTATTAAAAATGCCATGAATCAAATTAGCTTTTTATTTACTTCTGTCACATCACTGTGGTATACACCATCATGTCCTGGGGATGCTTCAACAGTCTCACACAACTGCTTCTGAACATTATGAGAAACCACCACAACATTCCAGTGTATGTACTTTGTCCCACTGGGGAAAATTTAAAATATAGTTGCTCTGGTTCTAACTCACATCAGATTTCACTCCTTCTGTAAATGAGTAAACAAAACTATATCAATCTTGGCTGTTACATCAGTCAGCAGCTTAGATATTTCACAAGGGCCCCATACTTATAAATGAAAGCAAAAAAAGCATATAAACTATCTGTCAAGTCTGCTATCAAGAGAGCTAATTCAAGTTTCTCTGGTTTGGGGAGGTATTTTTATATTTCCTAACATAAATAAACAAGACAGAAGAAAACTCCAGTGCCCAAGTTTTGGTCCAGGCTCTTAAGACACTAGGCTATATTCATGGACACTCAGTTTCAGCTCTCCACTTTCATCAATCCTGAGTGTCTATAGGAAATGTTGTTTGTAATGATCCCCTTCAAACTCGAATGATGAAAGTGCACATTTTGCAAATGACACCTCAGCCAATCTGCCCCATCTGCATGAGAGACGGCAAATGATTTCACTCTTCAGGCATTCAAAATAAAGTGCACATGCGGCAAATTCCAAGCTGGCAGGAAAATCCAGTCATTAAAAAAGTGATTTGTTTTTTACATTTGCAAACACAAAGGCTCCATTTATTTCCATTGCCATAAAGAAAATGAACTGTTTTATTTTTTTAAACAATCATAGCCAGCACATTTTGGAAATGTTTTAATTTCAAAAATACTAACTAGCAAATTAGAGTTTAAATAGCTTTTCTAAAGTGGTACCATTTTAGATACAGTTTTCTGATTGATGGCATCGCTTTGCCCTGCGGGAAAAGGTTTTACTGTCTTCTGTATATACTGTAGTGATGCCTGTTTGTTGCTGGAGTCTCTAAATTAAAGAAGAAATCTAAACTGTGAATTTTAAATAAAATTATATTCATTAACAGGAAATTATATTTTACATTATGGGACCCTGAAAAAAGTCTACATTTCTTTTAAAATTAGAAATTTATGGTCTCTGTCCTTCTGTCTTTCCCTCTTTCTCTTCATAATGAAGAAAACATAACAGCAAATAAAGAAAATAGCAAACATAATTGATACAGCCCCATCCTAAGAAAGCTTATAAACATGCTTAACTTTACACAGAATGAGTTGCTTAATTGAACTCACTGGGACTATTCCCAATGCAAAAATGTAAGCATGTGTGTAATTCTTTCCAGGATCACGATATGTAAGGGTGATCTGTAATGAAAATAAAACTACTCATTTTTTTCAAATTTCTTAATCTGCATTTATTTTTGTGGCTATAGCAACATCTGGTGGACAAACAGCAAAATATAAAGCCTGTGCGCTTCCATCATATGATATAAATGTATGTATTTTAAAACACAAACTGTTTTTACTTGCTTCTGTTTTTTAAAACTTAACAAGAAAACCCAACAATTTAACTCGGATAATTCTTAATAACTTCAAAGTTATTACGTTTCTTAGAAAATGCTTTATATTCTTAACCAAAAGTGGTTAAGGCATCTTCATTTCATAGCATACTAAAATATTACCTTTTTCTCTCCCATCCTCCCTCTCAGGCAAGTGCTTGTATACTTTGAAGTGCTGGCAATGGTGTATCAATGTACACTGGCCCACTTTGACAAGAGTGTACAAATACCCCACAAATGCTAAGGTTGCACAGTTAAGCAGTCAAAAAATAAGATCTAACACAGATAAAGTTCTAAAGTTAGAGTTAAGAAAACAATAAAGAAAACAATAAAGTTAAGAAAACCTCTGTAGATTTACTCTCCATAGTCTCAAAGCCTGAAAGAAATCAAAATAAAATCAAAAAATAACCAAAAAAACACTGGAGGACAACTTGGCATGCAAGGGTGAAGCTGAGTAATCAGTATGCCGACAGACATTCTTTTTGCCTCACTTATTTCCTCCATGCTTTCTTCTAATTCCTACATAATTGCTCTCTCATTTTTCATATTCCCTTTACTAAAATTTCTGCCTTACAGGCATACCTCTAGAACCAGCAAAAAAGTATTTAATGATAAAATGAGAGTCAAATACAATTATAACGATATTTGCTAAAATTGCTTGATGCTGAGGTTAGCTTCAATTAATTTCCAAAGGGCTGGAGACATGAGAATGTAGAACAAAATATGAATAAGTTGATTAAAATGTTTTAACAGGGAACAAGCCCTTGCATCTACCACCAAAAACAAGGAAGCAAAATAAGGAACAACCATTCTGTTATTGGTTGGAAAATTTGAAGACAGTGTCAAAAGGTTTCTAGAAGACGTCTGGCAATAGTGTCTAGAAATGTGAAAACAGAAAACAGAATGTACTTGAGGGTGAGGCTGAAATCAATGGGTGACTTGCTAGTAGTCTGGCGAGGTATCTCAATCTTCTATTTGGAAATCTGGATCTTCTGTGGTCCTTCACAAACAGTACGATGCCCAGGACCTTCACAACCTGACTGGATACAAGACTGCTAACACAATACTCCCCTGACTGCAGCTCCATGCAGAGATCAGAAGTGGTCAGCAAGCTGTCCATCATTGTCTGCAGCTTTCTGTACTGCCTATCTTTTCAGCTTTTACTGGAAGAACTAATTGCAAGATGCAAGTTCCTGGGACTGGTAAGTCAATAAATCAATAAAGTCACATACTGTCTACTACAGCAACACACTGCTTCAAGTTATCCACTTCCCAAATACTGATCAAGGAGACTGTCTTTCCCTGACAACTGCAACAGATGAAGACACTGGCAGGAAAGCAGCATGCCAAACACACAAAAAAAGTATTCTCAATTTACACACACCAGCAGCTTGATTCAAGTACTGCTTTTGCTGACAAGCCCATGCCTCCTTCCAACCGCCTTCTCCCCAAAGCTCCAAAATGGGAGACTTGCCAAAAACTCCTGAAAGTCCATTACTGTTGTTTGCATTTTACACAGCAGGTGTAACCACCCCAGCTTCACAGATAAAAATATGGGGTTAGTCATGTTAGGCATGTAGATAGAATTGGAAAGAATTTTGTTGAAAAGTGGCCGGGTCCTGGATCCAAAGTATCTGTGGAAGACACCTGCAGTCATCCACAGACTCCAGGGTCATTCAGTGGGGCATTACAAGCACAGTTTTATCACCTGGCCATGATTTCACCAATTTTAAAGGCCTTGACTTAATCATGTATAAGACTCTCATTTCTTACTTGTAGAAGATACCTCTGATGTGCTGAGAACTCACAAACATAGATAGGTAATGAAATCAGAAACCAAAAGGAAGCAATCCAATGCAAACATCTCTGTAGGTGTACGTGTAAGACAAGATTGATAGGGATGGTATCTTTCATTTGACCAGCTAATATAATCAGCAGACAACCTTTTGGGCACAAAACCCCTTCATTAGTGTGAAGTAGAAACAACAGTCTAAAAGACTAAATACAAATTACTGCTGCAATTGGGAGTCTAATCACACATGTATTAGTAAGGCTGTTCCCCAAAGAAGAAGCAGTAGTGGTCCCTGTTGAGAAGGTGGTAGGTTAACTGCATGACAGAAAGGTGGTTATACCTCTAGGGGAAAGCCTGAGGTAGGTGTTACTCTGTGGAATGCCAAGTGGCTAACAGGATGGAAAAAATTGTCATAAACCTCATTTGCGCCTAGTTTGGTGCACTGGCTTGACTTACGAGCTTCGCTTCCCCAGCTTGTCTTCATGGGCTTCCCTTGAAGCTTTCACTGCTGCATCAGCACGGCCTGGCGCCTGGCCCTCGTGCAACACTGCCACTTAGCCACTCAGGCAAGGCCTGCTGCCCGTGGCAGAGGGCACAGGTCGAAGGGCTCTGCTCTTGTGTCCATTAGGTGTGCTTTTAAGTACACACACGAGCAGGTTCCTACCACATGCCGAGAGGATGCTGTAGGCTCTTCATTCTTTAGTGCTAGGGGTCCACAGTCCTGCAAAGCGCTAGAGCAACCAGCGGAGCAAAGCCAGACCTAGAAGGGGAAGGTGCAGGGGGACATGCTCTTAAACGTAGTTTTAAACTTGTCTTGTTTTACTTTTCCCCTCAAATTCTGCGTCCAGGGCCCGCTACGTGAGATGAGGGAACGCCGGCCTGAGCGGGTCGCGCGGGACGCGGCCCACAGCGCGCGCGCGCGCTGGCGCAGCCCCTACGCCCCCCGCAGCCGGGCCGTGGGCGCATGCTCAGCAAATAACGGAACGAGGGCGGGCGAAGCTTGTCGCTCCAGGGCTTCCGTCCGCGCGGCGGGGCGGAGCCGCGTGTGTCCTTCCGCGTTTGCCGTAGCCCGACATGGCGGAGTATTCCTGCGTTAAATCCACCAAGCTCGTCCTGAAAGGGGCGAAAGAGAAAAGGTGAGGAGCGGGCTGCCCGCCGCCACCACCACCCCGGCCCCCGCCCCGGCCTCCCCGTCTGCGGCGGCCGCCGTGCCGCCGGCTTGGCGGTGCCTCGGGGCCGGCGCTCCTGCTGGGCTTCCCCCGCTGCCTTGGGGTCGCGTCGGCGGCTGGTTTGTTTGGGGCCAGGCCAGGCCGTCCCGTCCCTCCGGCTGCGAGTATGCCTGGGCACGCCGGCGAGGGCAGGGGTTTTCGGTTGTCAGCCCCTTTCTCCCGGCTGGTGTCAGTGCCCCGCTGCGGTGGGGCTCGGGAGCGAGGCCGTGTGAGAGCGCGCTGTGGAAGGGCCGGCTCGCAGGCACGACCTAACTTGTTTGCGTCTCCCTTTGCAGCAAGAAGAAGCACAAGGAAAAGAAAAGGAAAAGGGAGGAGGATGCGGCAGAGCAACTTGATATTGTTGGTGAGCCGCCTTCCAGGAATTAATGTGATAGTGTGGAAACTGTAGGGGATAGCAGAAGCTGAAGAGACTGCTATAGGGCTTTGTAAACTAAGTGTAGTCCCTGTAGAGATTTATAACTGTTTCTCCCAACATGTTGCTTGTATGCTGGGATCTTCCAAATGGAACTTCTAATACCAATGGGATGGGTTTTCCACTCACCTTTTTAGCTAGACTATGCTCTTACATAATCTCAAGCTACTTATCAGCTTGAATATCTCTTTTTTTTTTTTTATTCTTCCCCAGTGATACTTGCTTCAGGAGGAGAGACTTTTTTTTTTAGCGCTGCAATGCTGTTATTTAATGAGTGCATTTCTATGTAAATAACTTAAGTCTTCTGTTACTATTGTTTTGAAAATTAGTGGTTGGATCACCTGTGCTTCCTGTTCTTACTCTGCCACTAGTTACTTGCTGACTGGGTTCTTTAGTTCATGCAAACCTTCAATCCTTTCAAAATGAGAAGAGTCTTCATTAGTTTGTTTACTTGTTTTTAGTTTGACATACTTGCTTGACTGCTGTGGTGTGTTCACATTATAAATTTGCTACTGTTAATTGAAACTGAAGACACAAACATTAACCAGTAACAAAACATAATTTTACTTTTTCTTTTTTCATAAAATAGAAGGATCGTGGTATGTATGGTCATGAGCGGTAACTTGACAGACTGTTGCCCTTCAGTACTGTCATGTCCTCAACTAATCACAGTTCACTTCACAAACAAAAATAGCTAAAAAATAACAACAAAGTCATGAGAGACGTAGATGTATAGTGTAGCACAGCGCACATTACCAGATAAATGTCATTTTCTATTATGTGTATATAGGCATAAGCTAAAGCAGTGCAAGGGGAAGTCATTGTTGTTCCTGTGTGAAAACAAATTATGATATATGAGAAAATGGGCTGTTGTGTCCTACACTAGAAGAATGTTACAGATGTTTTATATTCTTCAGTTTAGCCAGATTTCCAAAAAGTGGGAGAGGTTTGGAAAATTCATACATGGATCTGTGAGCCCTGACTGTATAGGACAAGTCAATTAGCTCCATGTGTTGTATAAAGATAAGGGAAGATATTTCTGCTCAAGGCAGATTGACTTGCCAGATTTACCATGTGGAAAAAAGACATCATATTCAGATTAATTAAAAATGGTTATTGTCTTAATCAGGTAGAAAATATTTGCAAGACAATATACCGGGAGAAAATTTTACTGTTTAAAAAATATAAATGTCATAATTCTAATTCATGCGTGTGAGTAGGGCTACCTTTAATTGTGATCGAATCCTGTGGGGTTCAAATATTCAAACACAGATTGGCTTGAACAACTGAAGTCCAAGGATTACAGCTCACATGAAGTAATTTAACAGCAAGATGAGATAATTTATCTGTTTCTGTTGTGTTGGAGAATCTAATAATTGGCTATGACCCCAAAACTGCAGGAGGCTGGTCCAGAGGAAAAAAAAAAAAAAAAACAAAAAACTTCCTTGCAAGGTGTGTCTTTGCTGTATCAGCTGAATGGATCAACTTTCTCTATGGACTAACACAAAGAAGGGATGAAGCGCAGGAGCCTGTAACTAGGGATGGAAGGGTGGGTAGAACAGCAGGACTTCCTGATTCAGCAGCAACACCATTAAATTAGCTCTGTACTATAAAATAACGCACAAAGATCTTGAGATAGCAATTGTATCTTTAGAATTTCAAATCTCGGAGAAGACACAGAAATACCATTTCTTGAACTACTGTAATCAGAAGTTGTAATTACTCTATTAACTGTCATGGTTTTGTATTTTAGGTAACTGGTGGGCTATCAGTAATTTTGGTGAAATTACAGGAACTATAGCTATAGAAATGGATAAAGGTACTTACATCCATGCCCTTGACAACGGCTTGTTTACGCTTGGAGCACCACATAAAGGTTTGTTTCAGGAAATTTGGAAATAAGCAGTTTCAGTAACAAAAGGCATAAAACTAGCATCACTTAAAGGCAAACAGTTTTACAGCTAAAAGCTGTTTATTACAAATAATGCAATAATCCTAGCCATAGCATGCAGATGACTTAAACCTAATGACTACCAATCAGTTTCACTTACCTAATTTCTTGCTGGTTTATGTGTACAATAAATTGAACTGCATTGGAGATAATCACCTGTTAAAGGCCATACCACTTACTGGATAAAAAGCAGTATAACTTTTATTAAATCCTATAAAGTCTTTATGGTGTCAGTTGAAGAGTGAAACTGAAGGCAGATGAGTTTAAAGGCTTACTGCTGCATCCTCTTCTTAACATGCTTGTTTTGTTGCTGCTTAAGTGGGCTGCTAACTTGGTGGGATAATCAGCTTGTCCTTACTTTGAATTTGAGAGCCATCAGTCAGAAAAGGACTGTTCCAGACCACTGACAGTGTGTTTCACCTCCAGCATGAGATCAAAGCAATGATGGCAATACTATCTCATTTTGGTTTTGAGGGATGGAGAGGCTAGTAGCTTTTAGGATACTGAGTTATGTTACCATAGCTGAACCATAATAAATTTTGTTATAGAAAAAATAACATCACAAGGAGATTAAGGTTTTCAAAGCTACCTGGAGAATTGGAAAACATTCTGAACTATAAATTTCTTTACACAAGGTTTGTCTTTATTTTATGTCTTCTTTTAAGCACTCTAAATATATGAATGTAAATGAGCACCTGCCTTGCTTTTATAAAAGTGGATATTCAAAAAAGGAATTTTTAAAGAAATAGTGTTGCAGCTTTCCATAGCATTTAGCAATGGCCGGTGTTTAATTGTTTTTGAAATTGCAGTACTAACAGGCTAAAATATTGTATGTTTAATACTTCATACCTAATTAATGTAAAAATCATTCCTCAGATGATGAAGGCCCTAGTCCTCCTGAACAGTTTACAGCAGTAAAGTTGTCTGATACAAGGTAATTACTGCAACAATGCTACAAGCTTTGATACTTGTTATCTTTGTTTCTGGTGTGAATACCTGTTTTGATATTATCTTGAAATACATTGTCTACTAATAATGTCTTTGTGATGTGTTGGATATTGTGAATTACTTGAATTAAAAGCATTCTTTGTTTTCCTGCATTTTCTCTTTGAGGATTGCTCTGAAGTCTGGTTATGGCAAATACCTTGGTATAAATTCAGATGGACTTGTTGTTGGACGTTCAGATGCAATAGGATCAAGAGAGCAATGGGAACCTGTCTTCCAAGATGTAAGCTCTTTGGAATAGTTCGTTTGATGTTCCTAGCATTTGACTGTATTTTGAGTTAATCTACGTTGATGTTCTTTGTGGAGTAAAAGCCTTTTGCAGTCTCTTTCATGTTGTAACTTTTAATCTTGTTTTCACAACTCTGCATTTACTATAATTGGAAGTTCTTAAAATACTTCAAGTTACTGCATTTTGGCAGCTATAAGCATCTTAAGAATGAAGGAGCCGGCAAGTCTGCTGGCTAGCTATTGAAGTGTCCATATATAAAAGAATAAAATGCATTTATATAGCTTTTTGGTGTATTGTCAAGGATAAATGTTATGAATCAAGGATTATATACAAACTCTTTGTACTAACAACATGTTATATTATTTCTGCAGAAGAAAATGGCATTACTAGCAGCAAATAGCCGTTTTATTAGATGTAATGAAGAGGGAGACATAGAAGCCAAAAGCAAAACAGCAGGGGAAGAAGAAATGATAAAGGTAATTATAACTTCTACAATTAATACAGGCTTGTCATGGATATTCAAACAACCAGGTGTCTGTGTGCTACATTTCTTGTTAATACAGTTACAATAGCTTTCTATAAGCTGTCAAGTGATAGGGAGGTATTTTACCACTACAGAAGGGCAAGACACTGGGGGTGCAAGACAGTCTATGTCATATTCCAGATAGTTCTGAACAGCTTGGTACAGAAGAATGAATGATGACTGAAGCAGGGACAGAGAAAGGTTTACCAGAATGATGCAGAAGGAGAGATCTTTTAAGTACAAGAATATAAAAAGACTATCTTGACTTTATCTGGATGTGGAAAATACATGTGTGCCTCCAAATAGAGATAGGTGTCTACTAGTCAGAGCAGTACTTTTAAGTCAGTCTCTGAAAAAAGGCATTTTACCCCTGCTAAAACTAAGATCAATGGTGCTTCTTTGAGATGAGGGGACTATGTCTTACAGTAGTATCAAGGATTACACTCAATATTTCCCATGCTTCAGGCAGCTCTTGTTTTTATTGCAGTTGTGTCTAGTTGCGAATTAACCAATTTGAAAGCTGTGAACTTAAAAAGTCACCGTGAATTCTCGTTTGGTTATGAAGCATATGTTGTCGTCTTTAACCTGTAACTTCTGGTTTTAAAAAAATTGGCATTTTCTGATTTGGGGTTTTGGTTTTGGTTTTGTTTTTTTTTTTCTCTCTCAATGACTAGATTCGTACTTGTGCTGAAAGAGAAGCTAAGAAGAAAGATGATGTTCCACAAGAAGACAAAGGAAATGTTAAACAGTGTGAAATCAATTATGTGTACGTAGTTTAGAGCTGTTAACAGGCTCAAGTACCCTTTTTCACTTCTCTTTGGGGCCGCCTTTGGTGGAGGGGCAAAACTCTCACCTAGCCTTTCACTTGCTTTCTCCTCAGCAGAACAAGGGAAGAAAATAGCATGAGAAAGCTTGTGGGTTGAGATAAAGATGGGGAGATTGTGTACCAGTTACTGTCATAGGCAAAACAGACTCAACTTGTAAAAAATTAATTAAATTTATTGCCCATTAAAGTAGATTTGGGTAGTGAGAAACAAAGACAAAAATTAAAAACAACACCTTTCCTTCCCCAGTGTCCCAAGCTCAGCTTCACTCCAGACTCCTCCACCTGCTCCCTCAAGCAGGATGGAGGTATGGGTCAATACATAGTGGTTTCTCTCTGCCACTCTTCGTCTCCCACTTTTCCCCTGCTTTGGCATGGTTCTCTCCACAGGCTGGAAGAGAATATCTGCTCCAACGCCTGAAGAACCTCCTCCCTCTCCTTCTCTGTCCTTGATGTCATGCTGCCATTTTGCACTTCACCCCCTCTCCCCCCTTCTCTTCTGCCTGTGTGGCATTTTGCCCTTTCTTAAATATGTTTTCACAGAGGTGCCACCAGCTTTGCTGATGGACTCAGCTGTGTCCTATAGTGGGTCTGTTGTGAAGCCACCTATGTCCAGCACAGGGCAGCCCCTGGCCTTTTCTCACAGAGGCCACTCCTGCAGCTCCCCCACTACCAGCACCTTGCCACCTGTACCCAGTACACTTTAACCCCCTGACTCATCATGCTAGTAGTTGAAGGGACTCTTTAGAACTTGTAAATCATGTCATGCTAATCATGTTGGGGCTTATTCCCACTTAGACTACCAAAAAAACCCAGAGTAGTTTTCACCTACAGAAGTCTTGGTGCAATATTTGATACCATGACGGTCTGCTGGATTTTATTAGGCCAGTCATCTACTGTGTAATAGAAGTTAAGACTCTTATCATAGCTGTTGTTTTATTGAAACATAAAACTTTAAAGGACTTACACTTTTTTACATTTTTTCCCTCCCTTACAGAAAGAAATTCCAAAGTTTTCAAGACAAAAAGCTTAAAATAAGCAAAGAAGATACAAAAGCCCTTAGAAAAGCCAGGAAAGAAGGCACTTTTCATGAAATGCTGCTTGACAGGTACTTAAAAGTACAAGAAATAATACACTGATTTAAAAACTACTGGAAGAATGAATTACAGTAAACCTGGGGTACAAAAGAGAGCTAGATTTCAGGATGATGGGGTGTTGAGCATTTCCTCTCTGGTCAGTGTTCTGCCTGAGTTCTGGGGTTGGCTTTTTTTTGGTTCTGAATTTTCACTTCTTTAGCTGAAGTTTGCAGGTTTGGATTTACCCAGAAACAAATTCTTTTGGAAGTCTTTCAGTTTCTTTAGTACAGAGGAGTTGAGGGATGAATCTTTTTAATCACAAAAATTAAGCTAATTAACATTTACAATACCTATGGCACCGGAACATTTTTGAGAGGGGAAAGCTGTGTTTTAAAGAGAAATAGCATTTATTAGGAACAATCTTCATGTTGTCTAGTGGGAATAAATGTATCTTCCCCCCCCCCCCCGAGCTGAGACTATAGAAACTGTCTTGAATTTTTGAAATTTTTTGTATTGGTATACAGTATAAATATTTGCATTAATTCAGTGGGTGGAATGCAGAAGACGATTTCTGATAATTGCAAGTGATGTGAGAACACTCCTGGGCCATCACAGATTCAGTGTCAGTTTGAAATCACACTGAATCTGAATTCCATTCCTCAGAGTGGACAAAAAGCAATTCATGATGATTTGAAGGGAAAGACAAGGTTAACTTTAGACATTGCAGTTCTAGCTCCTTAAGAAAACAAAGTTAATTAATAAATCCAAAATGTTCTTAGGCTCTTATATGTGCTTTGAAGTAAAGTTTAAGAAAAATTGCTTTCAATGCTTCCTTAACACTTTAAGGCAAATAAAACACGCAGGGGTAATCATATTTGGTATTAATCTAAATCTTGTTTCATTACTCTTTCCATATAGGAGAGCAAAAGTGAAAGCGGATAGATACTGCAAGTGACAACCAGCTGGTCCATTTTCTTCTGCATCTTTGATGATAGGGTCAAATTGAAAACAATAGTAAAATGTTTTATAATTATTTTTTATTGAAGGTGTTTTGCTGATGTTTTTATTACGTTATTTTTAAAGAATTGCCTGAGAGCTATAATTAAGCATCAAACTAACGTCATCTTTCAGTAATGAATACTATTAAGTTTACTCTAAAACTACATGCTATTGAAATAGTGAGATAATTGTTTAATGGAAAAGAAGTTGACCCACTGAATCTTCCAAGGCTGATGTAAGGAACCTGAACTTAGAGACAGGGCAGAAGAGAACAACAATGAAGTTCAGAAGTAAAATATGGTTAACACATTGAACCATTAAGAAATATGTAACTGTATTGAACAAGAAGTAATTGAAAATGCATGTCTTGGAATGCATCCTACCAGATCCTGAGTAGGATGTCTGTGGAACTATTCTACACTGCATCAGGTGAGGACTGGGCCAGAATATTCAGGCTTCATAAAACAATGTTCAAAACAGACCCACTGTTTAAGTTGATAAGTGGCGTAATGCATATGCTGGAAAAGGTGTTGACAAGTCACAAGAACCCTGTTACAAATGAAAATGCACGTGCTTCGTAAGAAAAGGGGATGGCTTTTTTGTGTTAGCAGGCCGCTTATTTTACAAGAGGGAAAAACTGATTTTGCAAACTTCCTGGTTTCTCTATGGTATGGACTTTAGTTTGTTTAATAAAACAGCAGGGACTTTTTTTTTTAAGTTCATGGTATAACATGCATTCGTAGTATCTCATATAAAATATGATTTCCCCTGTCTGCTCTGATGACCAAGAAGCTTTTCAGTAACAACATCTCCACAGGAACTACCTCAGTCAGAACAATTGCTTACTCTCTCCACAGCTTCTGTAGTCTGCATCATAAAGATTACTTGGTAAGAATGTTGAGGGTTTTTGTGGTAATAATTTGAATTGTCTCTATGGAGCTTCTCCTAATTTTCAATTTGAACTGTGCACATAGTACAAACCTGTAAGCTCATGCAAGATAATGATGTGTCTAAAAAGAGCACAAGAACAGACCAATAAAGTCTAGTCAGTAGTGGCAACTTATATTGGTCTAATTTCATAGGCAGTTGGTCTTGAGGAAGAAGCATGAGAATTTAAGTACATCATAATTATTTAAACCCTCTATTGACTTTTCAGCATGAAAACAAATTATAGCTGGTTAGGGAAGGCTAGCTGAGGTCAGCAATAAAAGCGTTTATTTTTCAAAGAATTTAGAAAAGTATGGATAGAGCCCTTACAGATTTTATGGAACCAAAAGAAGAAAATCTCCATGGGCTGGACACATTTATGATGTAACAGAGGGATTTTTAGAAACTCGTTTCTAGAAAGGCAAACAAAAATCCAGACCTTTCTCTGATGGCATTTTTAAGCTTTCCATACCCAGCTCTATCCCACTGAGTACAGAGATTTTTGTCACAGGACTTTTCCCTCTAAGGCACTAGAATTTATTTGTTTTATACCTGTTAAACCTAGTATTCACTTAATACCTTTTGTACAAAAATAGATGCACTCACTAGTTCCTTGTATGAATATCTATTTTGGAATGAGTGCCTTTTCTTCCCACTTCAGCTTTTTCTGTTGAGATACTAAATAAGAAATCAAAATGCCCCCTCTGGGGAGCTGGTTTGTGCAGCTATATTGGGACAGCTGTGTTTGTAACTTTCTTATATGGACAAATCCTTGGAGACTTTCCTATCATTCCAGCTGCTCTGTAAGATTTTGTATTTTAATGCTGATAGAAGTTATAACAGAATGCTGAGAAATTAAGTAAAAGCAAGGTCTATGCTGAATGGAAAAGAAAATTAGTAAAATGAAATTATCAAATGAGAGTTTTCCCCTCAGTTTTTAGAAGTAGAAAAGGCCCCCCCCAGTAGCTGTTTTGTTTTGAACTTAAATGATCTTCTAGAGAATTGTCTTCTCCCCTGTATCTATCACTTTTATCCGATTATTGTATTTCAGGAAGTACTGTTAACCAAAATGTGGTAGTATCAGATGGTCACGTAAACTGATCAAATGCTTGACCTTTTTACCAGTATCAATAGCTTCATTTTAAAGTTTTCACAGATTTTATTTCTAGTTCTCATACAAAAGTTTGAGTTTACTCTTTAAGCTTACCACATAGGAGGAATGACTGAAAGTTATCTTTATTTCCTATCAGTTTCTATTAACTACGCATTCTTTCAAAGCAAGTAATTGCTGGGAATATCAACATGTTTGTAGTGGGACTCTGCATTAAAACATTTGCAAAAAGAAACTAATTAGCAGAACTTATCTTTGATTCTAATTTTTTAAGTATCTCCAGAATTAAGATTCCCTCACATATCAATAACCCAGTTATAAAATCTTATTAACTGTATCACTTGTGAATATTTGGCTTGTATTAAGGGAATGGCTCCAAGAAAAATTAAAGATATGTAAATTACCAATAGTAATCTATTTGCCATATAGCTTAAGCCCTGGGAGACAGATGGTACAATGACGTAGGTCAGAGACAGAGCTCCCTGGCTTTTAGTAGTCTTAAGAGAGAATAGTTGGCTTTTCCAGGGAACTCTCTGTATAACCTGATTGCTCTCAAGTAAAAGCAGACACCCTATCAATGAAAGCAAGCCATGTAGGCATAGTGCATGGCTAGCCTTTTACCAATAGCAGAAATGGTTGAGCAGATGAAACTGATTGTATATGTAGTTTGGAGGCTTTTGAATGGCAGTGTGTGTCCATGTGCTCTGTAACTCAATTTTTGTAAAGAAGAGGGCTATATTGCCTTTTCCCACAGTGAATGAAGGCCATATTTTGTGTTCCTATGTGTTGGAAAAGATGCATTGCGCATGCTCAGGAGGTCTGTTGGAAGTGTGAGCACTGAATTTGCAGGGAGAAGGCCAAAAGCTAGAAATAAATAGGTGATTGTTAGAAAATGTTCCTGGCCCGAGTCTGAGGAATTCTTGGATGAAAATGCAGCATAGCTGCGGGTTGTGGCCATCACAGAAAAAAAAGAATTCATTTTTCCCCAGAGCTCCTCAGTTTGGTCTAGGCCTGGGGATTAGGGGTCATTAAGTCGTTCTGGTTGTAGGTACCATGCTACATGACCCTCCCCAGAAATTTAAGTAACCTGATGTACAACCATTGCAACATCATGGACCTGGAAGTGGCCTACTGCCAAAACTACTTCCAGAAATACTGGGAAGGAAGCAGCACCACGAGGAGCAGGCTGTGGGCCAGAGTAATTATTTATGGGGCAGTTTGTTGTAGGCATCAATAATCCACAGTCACTGTGAATCTTAAATGCATCTGAAGTGAACGCTGATGGCTGAAGTAAACTGATGTTACAGCATCTGTTTTTCCTTCCAAGAATATATTGTTTAAATAAAATCCTGTCTGGTAGAACTCATAAAAATGATTACTCAAACACAGATGAAGCTGGAAGCAGAAATCTGCTATGCTGGTGGAAAGGGTGCTGAAAGGAGTACTCGGAATCTGCAGGAGAGCCTGAGAATTACCTGTGGAAGGGAATTTTCCATTTCATATTTTTCAATGTAAATAGGTGAATGCAAGGTGTAGCTGCTGTAAGTAGCTGTAAATAATAATAAAGGAAAAATGGAAAGTGAGAGGCATGTTCATTGCAGAGCTAGGAATAAGCAAAGCACAAAGAAATGTCAGAGCAAACGAAATGAGACTGCCCCAAGTAGAAGAGGAAGTACTGGATTTGGCAAGGGACTGGCAGCCCTGCAGAGAATAAGGATATCGTCGTAGTAATGGGGTTGCACTCTGCGTTGGGACTAATGATACACTGGGTTCTTGCTAAAAAATGTGACCTGAGATAACAGAGAAGCAGAGGTTTGGGGAATTCACTGGAATTTTAGTCCCAGGAAAAGGAAATCAAAGGTGTGACAAAACAGTGAAGATCAGTATGTGTATTAAACTGTTGCTGTCAGGAGTCCACTGGGATATTTTCCCATTGAGGTATTCATGGAGTCTCCTTGGTGATACTACGTCCTGGCAGTAGTGTTAGCACAAAGAGCTTTAACTGAAACAGAGAGAAAAGGGGAAGTAATTTGTGCAGCCTCTACTTCTGGAGAAAGGAACAGATCTGGGGAGTAGTAATACAGTACTGGATAGATGAGTATGAGAAAGCAGAAGGGTGGACATGAAGTACTAGGTGTCAAGTGACACCAGCTGTCGGGTAGTACAGTTAGCAAGTAAATTGCATGTCTTAAGGAGCTTTCTTCTGACTTAGATTTTTGAAAACTGACAGAAGAAACCTAGACAACAAAATGGAGGACCTGAAGTACTGGTGTGGTCCCTGGAGCCAAGGCATTCTGATGGGAATGCAGCAGAATAGCCATAGTCAGAGAAACACGGGTACTGGAGGATGTTAACTATTTCTTAAACTGCAAATTTCTTTACTGGTTAAAGAACTAAACCAGAAGTACAAAGAGGCTTCAAAAAAAGTGAGTTGTGAATGTGTAATGTAGCAATGGCATAATTTTGTCTTCAGAGCATTCAGAAAGAGTTTTTCATTTTCCAAAGTCATCATTTATTTTCTACTGTTAAAAACGTCCTAAAGATAGTAAAGCATCTAGATAGATAAAGGTAGTAAAGCTCCTAAAAGCTGTCTGCTCCAGAAATAACACCTGAGCAAAAGGGGCTGCAGATGTTTAGAAAGTAACAGGACCAACTTAATCGGACTATTTCTTACTGTAGACCATAACTATATTCAGATACCTGCAAGTAAATACAGAATTACTTCTTACAGGTATTTGTTTTCAACCAAAAAAAAATTGCCTGGGCCCTACAGAAGCTGCCTCATTTCCTGTTTGTGAAAGACGCTCCCATGAAAATCTGAAATGTTAACGCTGTAATTTTCATGATTTCCTAAATCCCCTGATTGGTCCTGTATCTTCTTCCACGAGTGCTTAATGCTTTTCTGCCTTGGTCTCTAAAGCTTTGTGCAATTCCAAGCTTACGTTCTGAGCTGATTCCTTCCTACATATTGCTGCACGCCTTCCTTTTGCCCAAGGCTTTCACACCTTACAGTGCATTTCTTCTATCCCTTCCTGCTTAATTTCTGCAATGCCACATAGCTTTCCAATCAACCATCTGCCAAGGACTTCCCTTCTTTTTCTTGCCAGTCCCGGTTTGTTTTATAAGAGTTAATTGCACAGCTAATGAAGTCATGATATTAAAAACTGTGTTGCTTCGTTTCTGTGTGCCTAAAAACACGTGGCAGGTCTTGGGCACTGCATAAAGCACAAGACACAAGCTAAAACACAAGCATCCTAGGTGGTTAATATTTATTCATGGTACTTCCAACAACTGTTGCTAACGTATACACTCATTATATGTTCATTTGCTCACACTAGAATTATATGTTTTTATTGAAAGCTATTTGGGGCCTGCACCTTATTCTGCTGCTGGCTTGTCCCTGATGTTACAGCAAATACACCGTTTACGTATTGCAGCGAATAAATGCTAGGCAAGGTGCGTAGACGGGTGCACCTCATACCCAGCATTTCTCATTAGACTGGCTCTCCAGTTGCCCATTCCCTGCCCTCTTAAGCAGGCCAGATGGAGAAAACTCCTTCTTCCCAAAGCAGGCATCCCCCTTGCATCTCTCATTACTGCAACACCTGCCTAAAAAATCTCCCGAGGACACAGCACCATTCAAAACCACAACACGTACAGAGTGAAAACCGGTGCCACGGGTCTGCTCTTCGCGTCGCCTACCAGAGGCGATTTTATTTCAGGTTTTCTCGTGCGGAACTTCCCTCTTCTGGAAGAATGACTGAAAATCAACACCTCCGCTTTATTAAAAATAAAAAAGGAGGGCCTGGGCGGCGGCGGTAGGGCTCGGGGGGGCGGCGGCGGTAGGGCC